ACAATGCTACAAGCCATTTTGTCATCGAACTGTGACTGACATCGGTCGGTGCGCGGGTGCAGGCGCAGCTTCCGCCGCTGGCTCGCCGGGCTGCCCCGGCTGCCCCGGCGCGTCGGCTGGGGACGGTCGGGGAGCCACAGCCGCCATGCGACGTTGTACCACGCGCCCGCTCAGCCGCCGCCTGGTGCTGCTGCTGCTGGTGGTGCTGGTGGTGCTGCTGGCGATGCTGCTGCTGGACAAGCCCACAAACAATCCTTGGCTCACAGGTGAGAATACTCTGCGTGCGTAATAGGCTCGATGCAGTGATGATTCATTGCGACACGGACCAACTTGCAAAAGTGCGGCTCGGGCACTGGCCAAAGCGCTTATCCACATTAACCCGTTCCAGATGCATGTGATATAGTGATTCCAGAGACGAGCAGCTAAGATCATAATTAGTCTGATCCATTGCAATCGCTCAACGAGATCGAGATCCCTTGAGAAACACTCACTTCAATGTCGACCTTCAATACAACACGACCCACATGTACAGAAACATTCAACCCTTGATGCGACAGTAACCGGCGCCCGGCCGGGGGTCCGAGACGATCTCGCTCGGCCGGGGGGGGGGGGGGGGAGGTTGACCAGCTGGGATCTTCCAATTTCAGGCGTCGCACAGGAAAAACAAAGATACCGTCGTGATGGTCTTGTCAAATCAGGACGAGTGCGTATTACATTTTTTACCTTAGTCAAATGTGAGGTCATTCGAGGTCACTAAAGGAGAAAACGGGCGTTCTCACAGCTAGTTAAAACATATGTTAATACGCCAAGACGGATATTGAGAGCACCCAAGTAAGCGTTTAGACCGTCTAGGAGTCCCTTCATTATTCATCCATGAGACCGGGAGTCCTTTACGACCATTTCTGCTTCCCCATGCGGGTCAGGTCAGGTCAACGTTCAAAATTGGTCTACCAGTAGTCTACACGAGCGGCGCTTTTTGTTCTCCTCCACAATGTGCTTCTGATTGAGTTTATTTTAATAGGTGTAGCAGTGCGACAAGGGCATTATCTATGCAAAAATATATTTTAGGCATACGTAAAGGTCAGCGGAGGTCAAGTGAGGATAAATCAATAAAACATCTACTTAAGGAAATTGAAGTGCTAACTATATCTTCGTGACCAGTGCCATATTTTTCTGTTGTTAACAATGGTGTGTTGTACATCTTCGGGTAATCAAGATCGCATAGCTCTTGTTCACATTGCACATAGTCGCTTTGACGCTTGACAATGCATTTTTAGCAAACTGAAAGCAGGCACAATGTGCTCTGTGGTTATATGATGATCGTACATGTCAATTAGTGCTATTTTCCTCAAACAAAAACACCAAAATCTACACACAAATACGTACAAGTTTGAATTGCTTGCAAAGAATAACAAAAATTGACTCGATTTCCGGTCGCTTACCTCGCATTTTTCGAAACATCTGAAATATACAAACGAGCTGATGTAACAACCGTCTTCAACGCCTGGGACGGGCGTAACGTATCACGAGTTTCACCTGTCGATTTTTACTAGTGCCTGTCTGATAGTGTTGCATAAGGGTTATTCAACACTTCCGCATTGCTGTAACATGTTTAGCTCTTCCAGGGGCCGAAAGTATGCTGGACTGCCTCCCAACTGCCGTTTCGAGCCCACAGTCTGTCTCCCCACCATGCACCTGTCGACACCGTCCACCTGCTCTCTGACGTCATGTGACCTTTAGCGCGGCCATGCCTGTTGAGGGCAAATACCAAGTGCCTAAAGCGACTCAAGGCCACTATGCCAAGGGAAGACAGACCGGAAGGCATGGGCTCCACACGACCGAATTATCGGGACGGATTTGCCAGTGGAGGTGGCATAAATCAGACATTGCAGAACAAGTAAACATTTGGGACCTAGCTTAGCCTAAGATGACCTGATCTCTCATCCTCAGACATGAGCAGGGCTGACATCATGGCTTCAAAATAGATGATGTTTATTCAACAAATGAGCAACACATCCTGATTGTCAACGAGTGAACCGCAACGTCGATTTGGCATCGAACTTGGCTGACCTGTCCTTAGCAAATGGACCACAAGTCACAAACTATTAGGACAAAATTATTGAAACTTGATAGGACACGTAAGCACACGATGAAGCTAGCTACTAAAAACGTGCGTGACCTATTTAGCGGTTGCCATGTTATGCAAGAAAAACCTCGGGAGAGGGGGGGGGGGGGAGGCGCTGTTAGGCACACTGTCGTGGTTCGTTTAAAAACACGAACGCTGCGCTGCTTTGCTTGCTAACCTGGTGATTAATTCATGACGCGGCCACATGGCACGTGCCTCTAGCGCAATACGTGCCGTGATGTCCGCATACTGCCAGGTGACGAGACGGCTGGTAGGAACTTGCGTGCTGCTTATTGGGCTATCCTGCGTAGTATGAGACGGTGGAACGGTACAAAATTTGAAATTCAGTGCGTATGGGTGTGTTTGGATAGCGTAAAAGGAAATGGCTGAGCAGGTTTCGTTCCATGAGGCTTTGGACGCTGGTGTGGGTGAGGTGTTTCAAATGCATGAGGAAAAGATTTGGAAAGTCAAGTCAAATTGTGAAAGCGCCGCAGACCCAGTCGTTCCAAAGTGTATTACGATCCGTGAAATGGTTCGGGTAGTGCTCCCGAAAAAAGCGAGGCGGGAAGAAAGCGCAACAAATTTTCTATTCCACGACGACTATTGGTTTAAGTAATCAATCTACAGTGCAAATGAACAATACGAAATAATTCAGCAAGCTTCATTGTAAATATCCTCTTCTTGTCTCCACAGGCATGGCTAGCTGGACCCAACATCCCGGACACCAACAAAGCACACTGGCCACCCTTCGGCGATTACCACCACCAGTCCAACAGCAAGTATGTCAGGGCAGCTTCGCTGGAGGCTGCTCCTCACTCTTCACGCGCGGCTCCCGCAGGCAGCGACGCCCACCCAGCCCGTCGCTGGTCTGCTGCCGTCCCCCGGTCCACCCTGCGCAGGGGCAGCCGGACCCTGAGCGGTCCGGTCCAACTGCGCAGGGGCAGCCGGACCTCAACGGCCGGTCGCGTCGAGGCCACTGCGGTCATGAGCCAGTCCCTGACGCAAGAGCCGCCGCTGCCCGCGGCGCCCTTCGAGGAGGCGCTGCGGGTCGTCCGCCAGGGTCTGGAGACGGACAACAGCACTATGGCGATACCGCTGGCGGCTTTCACGGGCCGTGCCGTGGCCGACGCCGCGGTGCGCAAGGTGCTGGTGGTGTCCACGTGGAGGAGCGGCAGCTCGTTCCTCGGCGACATGCTCGCCTCGCAACCCCTTGCGTTTTACCTGTTCGAACCGCTGTTACTGCTCAAGTCTGCCGAAGCTGCCACCGGCGTCGCGACCAGCGCCGAGCGTCGGGTTGCCATGCTCGGCCAGCTCCTGCGCTGCGACTACAGCGGGGCGACGAAGGAGCGCAGAGAGCTGGAGCTCGTACACGGCAGCAGCGTCAGCATCCGGGAGGCCTGCAGACGCTTCCCGGACGCCTGCGCCAGCCGACGCTTCCTCGAGGCCGCCTGCGCCATGCACCCCGTGCGCATCGCCAAGACGGTGCGCATGCGGATGCGCTACCTGGAGCCGCTGCTGCGCGAGGAGCCGCGGCTGCGCGTCGTGCTGCTCGTCCGCGATCCGCGCGCCGTCGTGCGTTCGCGCAGACGGATTGCCTGGTGCCAGAACCAGTGCGCGTCGATAAGCTCTCTGTGCGCCTGGCAGGAGGAGAGCCTGCTGGAGGTGCAGCAGCTCGAGCGCCAGTTCCCGGGTCAGTTGCTTACCGTGCGCTACGAGGAGCTGGCGCAGAGCGTAGCGCACGGCGCACGCCGCCTGTTCGCGTTCTTGGGTGTGCCTCTGGAGGAAGCGAGCGTGCGCTTCCTGCTGCAGCACTCCGGCCAGGAGAGAGAGGTGGCAGAGGTGCTACTGGGCAGGCCCGGCCGGCCGCTCGCGCAAAACGCCGACCGCTTGAGCGCCAGCCGGGGAAAGGCGCACAGCTCGGTCAAGAACTCGCTGCAGGTCGCCAGCGAGTGGAGGCGAACAATGGGTCTGACGGCGGTGCGCGTCATCCAGCGGCAGTGTAAGGGAGCTCTCGGCCTACTGGGCTACCGGCGGTTTGAGACTCAGGCTGAGCTTAGAAACCTCACTCTACCTCTGGAAAGTTGACGTGGGTTATGTGGCGCACATGGGCGCAATGATGCCGTTGCAGATGTAAAGCACCAGGCGTGTTCACAGCAAGCGCCAGACGCATTTGGTCTCGCGCCTTTCCTTACCGGATGTTGTGAGCACGCGTTGGACGCACCATTTAATTCGTTGCGTCTTGCGTACCGCTTAGCGGAGCATATGGCCATATCGATGTGTGAACCCGGGTGCGTGTTCCACTCAGCGGGTGGTTTGTGTTCCACAGCACTGGAACCCCACCAGCGGAGTCGGCTAATGGTGGTTGGCGGGCGGTGCAAATAATGCTACTATTTAAGCTTGATGTCAGCTTTTGCTTCTTGCATTCGAGGCCCATCGGTGATGTTTGGCTAAAGAATCAGGAATTATCCACTGGGCTTTAATTAGCTCTTTGGGTAGTTTGGCTTCAGGGCGTGAGTAGTCAGCTAAACCATGCGTGCAAAAACAGAGTGGATAAAAACACATTGGAGTTGGTAGAGGTTGCTGGAATGATACAAATCAAGCCGATAAACAGCCCGGGCAAGGGGCAACAGCGAAACTTTAGCCGACATCATATGACGCAGCAGGCCGCGCACCTAGTCTGCATCGTCATCTTCTATCCGACAGGAACATATCTCGTCAACCAACCACCTGACCGTAAGAGATTGCGGATCAACAGCGCTGCCATATCTACCGTGCATTACCATGACCCCGAGCACCCCCTTAGCCTCGTTACCCTCGGCCGAAGCGAGAAGGCCAAAGTCGTTATGACCCTCCCGCAGCTCTTTTTCGGCGACTTTGACCACATCCGTGTTTTTTTACCGCCCCGGAAACCACTGTTTGTGCGAGAACACAATGATCACCACGGTATATTTTTTGACGTTTGCATCGCTTGGCCGTTCTCAGAACTCTTTGCTTCCTCGGAAACCTTGGCCTTTTAGTTGTCCTCGACCATCCAAATAAAATTGTATTTTCATTGCTTTCACCCCGACCCCTTCGGTCTCTGCGCCCCCGGACCGTAGTCGTGCCTATGGCCGTTTCAGCGTCCACTGACCACCTCGGTTTCCACTGTCTGTCGTAGATCACTTGACTACCTCGGCAGTCGGGACCTTCGACCGTCTCGCAGTTTATCATCTGTCCCTTGTTCACAAGACTGCGACGGAGATCCCCGGCGTGCTTGAGTTTCCGGAGTAATTGGGTTACTCGAGGCCCCTTGGGGCTCTCAGACAGCTGGCTATCTGTACTTTGGCCCTAGACAGTCCTTAAGAGCCGATTACCGTTTCGTGGTCCTATGGCGGGGGGGGGGGGTTCGTTAAGGGCGCAATATGACCTTTAAAACCTCTAATCAATCGTAATTCCTGAGGGGTCTTGCTTATCACAGAGACTCCAGGATTAATCGGGCCCGTAGCTGTTCGTTAATCTCTGATCCTAGTAACCTTGCATCTCTGATATTCGTATCGAATAATGCTCACGAGTAGGCAAACAAATATCGATGTTTACGGTCACCTACCAAGCTGCATCTGCTATACGGTTGCAATGACTATTCGGACCACATTTCGGCACCAATTTCGAGTTTCAAGGTGACCTTCCCACGGGGTCAGCACCGTGCGCAAATTTATCCCTGTAGATTTAAAGATGTCATTGCTGGCAAAAATGTGCTACAGAGCTGTCAACTAAAAAGTTGCATTGCTGCGTTCCCAAGCAACTACTGCTGTAAGCACAAGCTGGCAAGCATAATAAAGAGGCGCTATGCGTGGCATGCATGAAGAAGTAGGTGCTATCGCATATCAGCCAAACGGAACAGAGCAAGAGCGAGTCAGGGAGCCGCAAAATAGAAGTCAAAAGGCATTATTAAAAACATCTTTAAACTTACGTATTGTGGAATATATATATATATATATATATATATATATATATATACATATACATATATATATATATATATATATATATACTGGAATCTATACGAGATAACCTTAACTGAAATTGCATTTTAAATTAAAATAAAAAACAAATTCTGGAGGCAATGTGGGGGATCACGCACATAAGCATACGGTACACATCAAGAGCGGGGCAAAACTCATGTTTTCCGTCCCCCAATCTCAAGAGGTTCCGCCAATACCGGGCATGACATGCTAACCAGAAGACAGGAGGTGGATGGTATGTGATAACAAGATAATACACACAAGACAGATTAACGCCCGGCAGGATGAGCGGACAAGGTTGAACGGGATGAGGGAACGATGAGATGTAGATAAGATAGATAGGGGATAGACAGAACATGATAGATAACAGCACAGGACAGGAGATGACAAGAGTAGAACAGCATGCGCGCTTGATGCTTAACGATGCACTCAGCTGCTGGTTTCATTGACGTCACCCGCCCTGGCAGGAAGGGCGGGCACCACAAATATATTTTGCTTGTCAATTTTGTGTTGAGAGCGGTAGTTGCCTGGGAGCCAAGCATGAACAGTTGCGCAAATCAGCAGTTTTGCAATACATCTTTACCGTAAAAGCGTTTTAAGATATACCGGACTAAATACTCATGTCGACGGGTTAACAAAAAAGGTCCTGGCAGCAAGGTCGGCGCGTGCCGTCAAAGGTCATGTGACTTTGTGGTCACGTGACCTGACGTAATGAGAATATTGGGCTGTGATTGGTGCTGACAAATGTGCTGACGACAGACTGCACGTGGCCAGGGTTGATTTTGCCACGCCATCAAACACAGCTGCATATCCCTGAAATGAAATACTTTGAAACAGCTGCCACAAAACAGTGCTAGGATTCATTTATCACGGTTCTATTGCATAACGCGTTCGAGGTCACAGCCCCACGCCCGTGCTGGGTCTGGCGAGGATTCACAAGCAATGCTGTAAAGGAATTATGATACCAAATTCTACACAAAGCCCGCAGTAGTGACGTTTAGGAACGGTATTCGCCGGGCCGGCAGTCAACTCCGTTAGCACGGCGTGAAAGGGTGACGGGCGTGTTTATGTGGACTGAAAGGCTATTTTCCAAGTATTGCAGAAGTTAAATACTCACCGCCGCATATAACGTTCAAGCTGTCTTCATACGTATCTAGTGTTATCGCCAGAGTTGTGAACCGTATGTTCAGTCTTTCATTACACCAGCCGAGCACGTAACAGCGCTGGGCAGGGTTGAGATTTGAAACGTGGTCGTCTGTGCTGCTCTTTTTCTCCAGTTTTGTGCTTCTATGAATGGTTGCAGCTAATAAGTAAGCCTTGATTGGGCATTGTGGTATCATCACATACAAGTGCCCGAATGTGTTTTAGCTGAGACAACACATCATGTACGAGAAAAGTGACGGTTATCCCTTTGTGTTCTCCACATTGTGTTAACGTCATGCATATTTCCTGAGCTTTTTATTTCCCCTCTGAAATAATGGGGCTTTTCGTGGTGCTATCTGCACTAGTATCTGTACACGCATGGGGAAACCCAATCTGTCCATGTCGCCCACAAACAGCACAACAAAACTATTGGCTGGTGTAAGCATAAAGGATCAGACATAAGTTAAGGAAAAATATGCCCAACTTTGACAGGATCTGTGCCTTCAGCTAATGATTTTGTCAAGCTCATGAGGTCATGCCAAGTGTGGTATTGCTATCAATGTGAAAATGTCTTAATAAATGAGACAGCTCATTTTTTTTAAAGTGAAACAATTTTGGGCCAAGTTACATAAGTTATTAGCAATGTTAGGCTACTCTGCATCTTTGTGCTCAGTGTGTGTGTATGTGTGTGGAGCTTTTGAAGTTGCATTACAGATGTAAGGGGACTCCCTGGGATAGTTTAATGACCAGTCATTACTGACTAATAAAAGGGTGTATGGGGCTTTACTGGCTCTTGGCAGAAAGGAATGGCTAGCACCACCATGCATGAACTTTAGCTGTCAGCTGCTTCATAGCACTTCACTTTTACCTAGTTTTATGCTGGAAATATCACACCAATTGTTATTAATGCCTATGTCATTTTAGTGCTAGTGCTAGTGCAATGTCATTTTATGTACAAACATCACACCAATTGTTATTGGTACCTAACTAGTGCAATGCCATTTTATGTTGCAAATATCACAACAATCTTTATTAGTGCATAGATAGCACAATGCCAGTGAGCAAGCTGACCTATTGCTGACTTGTTGAAATCCTAACCCCTGCTAGGCGAGTGCTAATTTGACTGTGATCTGGGTAAAAGGAATCTGTTTCTGATAGGATGTGCCCTGAGCTGATGTGTGAGCAGTAATTTTCACAGCTGCTATGGTTGACCTTCTCTGCTGGGCTGCAGGCTCCAGGGCTGTGAGGCTGCCAGCAGACATGCAGCCGACCCTTGCCATCGTGCTGGTGCTGCTCGGGTGCTGCTCCAACGTTGTCTTCTTGGAGCTGTTGACCACGTGAGCAGCAGCCAGTCCCAGCCTGGGTGACAGAAAGATGTTGTGCTGGCGAGGGCCTTTGCCAAGGGGGCAGAATCATTAGTTTTGTCATTTTCGTTTTGTACATGTTTGATGGTTCATCAAATCTAACAGCAACTTAGCAAAGGCTGCATAGTTTTGCTGCTTGTGCACCATGATTTGGTCGCCCAAAGTGCAAGTGTTTGTACAGTTCTGTTAATGATAACCAAAGGGAAGGATTGCAGCTCAGTAACATGAGTTGAAGGGATGGTGTTCTGTCCGTAACTTCTTCAAATGGATTTCCTCTCTTTCTTATTAGATTGTCCACGCATATTTAAATTTTCTTTTTTTAGAACTGGCTAAGAATTTGGATCGATCATAGCAGCTTTTCGGCCCGAATGCAAACCTCAAACAACTCAAGATGTTGTCTTTTCTTTCGCGTCTACGATGACAGCGCAATCAAATACTGTAATCAATTATCAAAAACTTGCGGTGAAATGCTGTCATAATTGAAGTATCATCTGCCATGTAGTTGCTCTCCATTTGGTCCACCCCGACATTAGAACCTTAACAATGATGGCAATATAATGAGGAATTCCCATACGAAAATGAGCGTGCCACATGAATCAGTAGAGCATGCTGCAGCTTGGGTCAAAATTTAATTTAGGTGAAACCAAGCCCTTAAGCAATCCTCACACAAATTTTCACTCCCAGAAGTGAATCATGACTGTAATATAGTTTAGATCGATCTAGTCAGAATGAGTCTCACTTAGAAGCCGTTCCATGTTTGTGCAGGTTTTTGTGCTCAAAAACCTGGTATATTTCAGTGCACATCCTGGCTCAGGAAACATCATAACGTTCTCGCAGTTTTTGTTCATCGCTGTACACGGATTTGTGTTCACCATGAAGTGTGGAACCGTGCGCTCGGCGATACCAGTAAGGTACGTATTGGTGTATGTTGGCACATATTTAACGTTGTGAAAGGCGCAGTGCGTTTGTGATGTCGTGTACTGAGTGTTCAAAATCAGCAGTAGAGCACTGGGTAACATTAGGTCACATACGTTACTTTTATTTTGCTATGCTTCCTGTAAGCTCCGATCTCGTGTTTTGTGTCGGAACACTTAATGTTTCGGATATTTTCCGTTTCCGATATATTGATGAACCACATGCCCCCCGAACGCTTCTGAATGTAACGCGTTCTCAAATGTGCAAACGAAAAATTCCGACAGCGTATTCAGCAAAGTGGTGACATTGTAAGAGCATGATCTCATGCATGTTTCATATGTGATGGTTCTTTCTTTTCAGCAAGTACTTCCTCATGGTGGGACTCTTCTTTGTCGTCAGCGTCATCAACAATTATGCCCTGAACTTTGGCATCCCTATGCCATTGCATATGATCTTTAAAGCGGTAAGACTACGCTGATATTGTCATTTATGCCTAAATGCACAGACGTGCGCTTTATTAGGTTTGGAACCAGCAATCCCCCAGGCCACGGATATTCACTCAAAGTAGTCATTAATATCCCTAAAACCCCCGTCGTCATAATGCGCCCGGGCAGTGGAACAATCGTGGTGTGGACCTTGCCCTCATACGCCGCACCACGTGGGTCGGAGGGCGTGCTTTGTGTCGCGTACGAGATCATGTGACCCAGACTGCACGGGATCGATCCTTGATGGTCACCATCCACTCAAACTCGGTGGTGTGGGTTAAAGTAGCTGCGTCGTCACGTCCTTGGGGCTGCTTTACGAGCAATGAACGACGGGCGAGAGTGCGGATATAACTGTGCAGACGATTGGTGGTGCGGGCTAAGATCTGTTTACCTGGAGATCACTTTAGGCTTGGTGATTTCTTCCCATAACATTACGGTGATATTTACAGGGTATGATCGTATTTCCGGGGTGCGATCGTATTTCCGGGGTATGATCGTATTTCCAGTGTATGATCGTATTTCCGGGCATGATCGTATTTCCAGGGTATGATCATATTTCCGTCATATGGTCGTATTTCCAGGGTATGATCGCATTTCCGGGATGTGATCGTATTTCCAGGGTATGATCGTATTTCTCGGGTGTGGTCGTATTTCCGGGATATGATCGCACTAGGTCAATTCGTGACGGTGGTGTCAAGTTGGATTGTGTATGCATATCGTGAACAAGATGGTTGGACCGCCTCAGTGGTTCTGCGAGGGATATCATTATCAAGCTAACATCAGATCAAGGCTGCAGGTCTCAGGTCACCGTTTTATCCAGCCAAAGTAACGTCAAACGTTACTTTATTTGGTATCATTTTACCAATATCATCTTTGTGCGTGATGTAAGTGCGCAGTCCAGGTAAATGGCGTGGAATGACCTCCGGTGAATTCACATGACCCGTTGGGATTAAATGATCACGTACTTTGACTTAAATTTGGTTTATTTCGGGGTCCATGCAAGCTACGGAGAGTCAGCTTTAAGTGATTTGACCCCATTTGAACCACCCTGACACTCCAACCGTACGAGGTAGTGTAAAACAACTGGAATGAGCGTGGAAGACCACGAAAATGGCTACTGTGCTTGTTTGTTCTTGCATCGGACATGAAGTCGGCACACACTACCTCGCTACTGTGCGGAGGATGGCTTATCGGTGCAGCTCACGAGAACGTCTTATTTTGGTGCTATTAATCGGAACAACGGACGTAGTTTGTGGCAAATTCGACAAAAATCTGACAAAGCTCGGTTCGGCTTTATAGCCCAACAACACAGTGACATTGACCGCACCAGCAATTTACCTGCTTGTGCGAGATAAGTGATGACGAAATCGCTGCTCTGGCTGTCAAAACTTGTGCCGTGCTGTGAACTTGGCGTAACTGTGCAGGACACATCACAGAACGTCGGTTGATGTGCTGTGAGAGAAGCCGATAGTTTGCTGTTCGTTGATGGCGTTCAGGCTGGCGGAAGTGGGTTCGTTCGAGTGATTTTAATGAGCACGCCTTGTCACGAGGCCGCTTCCGTTGTATGACTCAGCTTCCTTTTTCCGACCCACGGCTGTCACACGTGACGGCCTGAAGCCCGAACGCCTCGTTGCACTGTCATAGAAGCGTGTCGTTTCTAATGCTTCATGTGATTGTGTTATGATGAGATGTGAATATCTGACGAGCGTGTACGTGTGGATTGTGTCTGTTCTCTTCGCCTGCATTGCCAGACATAGTCTGGTGTACTGTTTCAGTCGACCAAGGGTCATTGTAGAATCATTTAATTCCGGCTGTCTGCTCGTACGCTTTCTATCCTGCCCTGTCTGGTCTGTAATGTGATTTAGCGCTCACCCGTCCGGCAGAAGGCCCGTGTCAGCCCTGTCTTAGCCTCTGTCCTGTCTGTCGTTGCCTGAGCGGCCCGCCCATGTCTGCCGTTGTCTATGCGGCCGGACCATGTCTCGCAATGTTTGAATGTTTGTATTGTGTCCCCTGGTGTCTGAGCGGCCGGTCCATGACTGGTGTTGTCTGAGTGTCCGTATCGTGTCCGCTGATGTCTGGGTGGCCTATCCGCGTCTGCTGTTGTCTGAGTGTCTCCTGTCCGCGGATGTCTGAGTGGCCGCTCCGTTTCTGCTGTTGTCTGAGTACCTGTATCTTGTCAGCTGGTATCTGAACGGCCAGCCAGTGTCTCGCGGTGTCTGAGCTTCTGTCCTGAGTCTACCGTTGTCTTAGCGACTGGCCCGTGTCTACCGTTGTCTGAGCATCTTACCTGTCGTGTCTGCCACTTGGGGGGGGGGGGGGGGCGGAGGCGGTCCATGTCTGTCATTGTTTGGGGGGCCAGCCCATGTTTGCCATTGTCCGGGCGGCCGGCCCAGGTCTGCCATTGTTTGGGGGAGGAGGGGGGGGGGGGGGCACCCCATGTCTACCATTGTCCGGGCGGCCGGCCCATGTCTGCCATTGTTTGAGGGGCCGACCCGTGTCCGCTGGCGCCTCAGCGAATGTCTCGCGTCACCAGGGGTCGCTGGTGGCCAACCTGCTGATGGGAATGGTGGTACTAGGCCGCTACTACCCGCTGCACAAGAACGCCGCCGTCGTGGCCATCTCGGCCGGCATCGGCCTGTGCACGTACGCGTCGCGGGTGAGTGCCGCACCAGCGCACCGACTCGACGTGCCGCTCTGGCCTGTGCCTCCGGCTCGGCTCGCTGCCGGGGGTGGCCATCTGGCTGCTGAGGGACCGATTGAGTGTTGACTGAACGACAGCCTTTGATTTTGGGCCGCCATATATTGCGTTACGCGCGGAAGAAGAGGCTTCCAGGGAGCGTAAGCCAAGCGTTAGAGAAGGAGGAGGAGGAGTAAGGCTACGCCTTGGTGTGGTTGCAAATGATGCTTAAATATCTCTGTAATGTTTTAAAACTTAAAGGTCAGATGCCGTTGGCGTCCTCGCACAGTAAGCCTGACTTCGTTTCACACCTCCATCTCAGTTAAGTTATTCCGTATGTCCATGATAAGTGGTGCAGCGCTGCTCTTGTAACGCGGTCCGAGACGGAGGAAAGCGTGGTATTATTAATAAACGTAGAGCGTATCAGTGCTGCTATTTTCATTTAATGCACCTCCTCGTCTCCGATTCGGCTGCCTTTGTTCTGCAGCCTGCCTCTGGCAGCGCGCTCCATACTGCCCTCTCGTGTCCCCGCTCCGTAGCTCTGTTAATTGCGGCCTCCGCCAGGGCGGCGCTGCTGAGCCGGGCGCCGACGGCGGCCCGGATAGCACCGTCACCATGACGATCGGCGTGGCGCTGCTCACCTCGGCGCTCCTGCTGTCAGCCCGACTCGGCATCTATCAGGAGGTGCTGTACACCACCTTCGGCAAGCACTCGCAGCAGGCTCTCTTCTTCACGGTATGGCGTCGGTCCCCGCATGTGACGATCGTGCGGGTACGGCGGGGAGGGGGAGGGGGGGGGGCATCATGGGCAGCTGGTCTCTGGGGAGGGGGCTGTCTTTCGAGATTAGGAGAGGTGGTCCAGTTGAAGCACCCGCGATTTATCGTGCTCTGCGGAGTGCATCGCAGAGCGTGTGTTGTCTGCCGCGGTCACAGCCGTGGGAAGTTTGCAAGGGGATAGACAGTCGACGGTCCACGGATAGGGACTGGTGAATTATGCTTGAGAAGCGTCGTGGGTTCTCGTGTCAGTTCAAAGAAGCGGCGGCGCCGGTTAAGGACGGAATATTATTGTGTTATTTGATTTGCATGCTCTGCTCAGTTTGTGTGGGTTGGCCGCCCTGCTCTGATCGCCCAAAGTGCCAACGACGACAGATGAACGTCAGCGAGGGCCGGCGCCGCCGCGGCCAGCCCGACCCACCTGGCCGCCCGCTGAAGTCACTGCTCACTCCCTGCAGCACGCGCTGCCGCTGCCCGGCTTCCTGCTGCTAGCTTCCGACATCGGCCACCACACGGCGCTGTTCTCGGCGTCGGAGCCGCTGGCACTGCCGCTGCTGCCGGTGCCCGTTCCGCGGCTCTGGTTCTTCCTCGCCTGCAACGTGGTCACACAGTATCCTTTTGGCATGGAGGCGTGTCCGCATGACGTGTTCGTGTCTGTCAGTGCAGCAGGCATACAGCACACTGATGTTGGTGCAGATTGCTTGAGGCATTGTTTCGCAAACTCTGGCGTAAATTGAGCGTCCCCGTTAAGTCGATGCTTCCCTCGATCGAGCGTCACCTTAGACCGCGTGCGCTTTAACCTCGTTTCGTCCCTCGTTCCACGGAAGTGGGTGGGGATGGGGGGGGGGGGGGCTGGTGCCATGGTCCGCGGCGGTTTTTCTTCAAGATATGCGATCAAGGAGCCTACATACCAATATCATCTAAAAGGTAAGTTGTGAACCTTTTGACACACTTCCCTGTATGACACTTATATATACCTTTTCTAGTGTTTTGTCACTATCGGCGTGAGAAGCTGGACACGCTAAATATGCAGAAAGAAGAGTGGATAAGTTCCACCAAAATACTGCGAAATAGGGGTCAAGTGTGTGGCGTAGATCTGTCTGGCGTGGATTGGCGGTTATGACTCGATGCCTACCTTTCTACGCCTGCCATGGAGGTTCCGCACCTGTCCGGGAAAACAAACACCTTTGAAATTCGAGCCGTCCGTTGTGCCCCCTCCCGCCGCTGCATCAACGCCACCTGAGCCCACCCGAACCTGCTAACGTTATCTCAGGCATTTAAATGGCCCAGGCTTACAGCGTCGCATTGCGTGGGCATGACAGGTGGCGTTTGGACATGAAGACGGCCTCACTGAATATAATATCTATCGTTATTAGCTTGTCCCATTTTGCGTTGATGGCGCAAACGAACGGGCGCTTAACAGCATTGCATTAACTAGCCCGACCATGGCTGATAAGATCAACATAAACTGCTGCCCCCGCCCCTCCCCTCCCCCCAAAAAAGAGTAAGAAAACGCATGGCATACAGATACGAACCTCCAATTGGAAACAATGAGCCAAACGAGCCGGAAGCCTCTGGGCGAAAGAAACTCCTCGGGCGTGAAAAATGCGGGCTTGGAAATGGCCTGTTTTACGGTGGTAATGCCAGTGGTTTTGCGGATCCTGATCGTGCTACGCGGACCACTCGCCGCACACCTGGGGACGCGCTTCGCTAGTTTCAAATCCCGCCAGTGTCAGGACGTGCGAGTTTATTTTGTTTCAATGTTCCATGACGCAAACAGACTGAGAAGCACACTTTGTTCTGCGGCCAACTGCCAGCTTCTGCGGGGAAGACGCGCTGTGTGGCCTGAGGAGAGTGTGGTGACTCCAATTGAGCCTTGGATGGTACCAATACCAGTCGGGCGCTGGGCACGGCGTGGGACGAGCGAGGCGATGATGGCGTCATCAGCTGCCGGTGATGATGCCGAGCAACTGCCGTCGTGCGGGGTGCACCAAAACATCAGGTAATGGAGTTGAAAATGGCTAATAAGCGGCTGATTGACGTGATAATTGCCTGGCTGTTGCTCCGGCCAGGCCTGCCAACTTATGTAGAGGAAATCAATTTGACTGCAGTTTTTGTTGACTGACCAGTCTCGCGAAAAGCGCGTATAGTTTGGGCAGATGCGGGTCGTATGGAACCGCGCTGCAGACGGCGCTTCATTCCTGAGTAGCTTACGTGGTCCGGCTCAGATAAGCCGCATCGTGGAGGCCCGGCGGCTGTAGCAGGGCGGAAGCCCTGGCCGCCTGCAGATCTGACAGCGTTCCTAAAAATCGCACTAAGGACCGCGGAATCCACGGTTTTTGCTCGAGCGCGCGGAGCCGGCTGCAGCCGAGGCAGCGGCGAGCCCGACGAATTCGTGCCCAAGCTGGCCTTGACATTTAAGGTCCGGTTTGGACTGCGTTGCGGAACTTTCGGTCAAACTGGGCGTGTGACGTCGAGTCAAACAGGTAGCTCGAGAGGGTGTTGGTGGTGATGTCGAAAGGGGAGCCGCCGAGTACTGAGTTTGCCTTTTCCGCCGAGGTGGCGCCGTGTCTCGGCTTTCGTTCGGGGTCCTGGTTAGCCCCGGTGAGCCCACCAACTTGTCACGGGCGGATTCCGCAACCACTGATGTGGCTCATCGGCCTGCGCTATGCGCCCGGTCCCAATAAGATAAAGTGAGACGCCCGCACGCGTCCGTCCGTATGTTTGCCGGTACCATGACTCGTTTTTTTCTTCGTCAGCATTGGTGAGTTTCGTGTCGTTGCCGCAGCGGATCGCCGACATCTAGACATGACCTTTCTGAAAGGGCTTTACTCTTGATCGAGAGTTCTTGGCGATTTGCTAAGTTTACCTGTCCGATGTTAACACGCGCCCGGGTGGCCGGTTGGATACCCTTCGCCCGGTTGGGGGTCAATTTGACCGCCTGAGATCTCAGGAACTGGAAGAACTAGGGACACCAAATTCACAGCGTGTGTTGACCTGTATGCGAACTCACTTAGGTCAAAGTTTGAGGTTCCTAAGTCACGACTTTGGGGTCAAATAAGGTCAAACAAGTCAAAATCTAGCGGGATCTCCAAAGTGCCCCCAGAACCTAATTATCTGTTCTAAGCAAAAGGTCACTTAATCATTTAAGATCAGTGATCTGGTTTGACCGTCTGAAGGCCACGGCGGTCAAAATCATTTAAGACTTTTGAGTTTCGTATTTGAATAAACGGCAAAGATTACGCCGGGCAGTATGTTCCTAAAAACAAAATGGCGGCCTGGGTCATGGTGAGTGACCTACTCTGACTGTAAAGAAATGCATGAAAGATGTATAATGCCGTTCCTATTATCAATAAATTCAAAATGAGCACCAGAAGCTACCCCATGCCGCAAGCCCTAGAGTAATGAAACAGGCTGGTTTTGACCTTGGTCTGACCCTCGTGCCTGACCCTAGCTCAATGCAGTTTGCTCATTCAATTGTTGTATCGCCTAAGGAAGTATCTCAGAGATGTATTGTTTCGTCTAATACTCCGCTGTTGCATCAGACTGAACGATTCCATAGAAGTTGATTTCGCTGAATCCATGTCCTAACTGGCCTGCCGTAGGTCAGTGGCCTCACGAGGTACATCTAAATGTTTGATAGCAAATGATCCGCTATTCAACTGTCTACTGGTATGCAAAATTTGGCGCGGCATAGCCGCGCTATTCAGAAATACTTCCGGAAAAATCTTTGGAGGGGGGGTCAATGTGACCCCCCCTGAGCGCGTATTAATCGCATCGGGAGGGAAATCATGGCAATGTTGCAATGCTGCTTAAATGCGCCGCCTGGTGGGTCGCCCTGCGCTTAAATGGCTTGAAGCTGTTGCTGCGTGGCTCTGAAAGAATTGAGCTCATTGTTGGTGAACTTTTCATGGTGCAGCAAAGATAGTCTGAAGGTATGGGTAAAATTATCGTCACATAGCAATGTTGCAAGTCAAGATCGATAAGAAGAGGAACGCCTTCGAGTGCCGTGAAATGTTGTGTCATATTTTATAAGAGCTAAGCCACTTTTTGCTGAGACTATCCCGTGCAGAGAACTACATGGCGCTGCGATCAGTGGTTTCAAAGCCTGTCAAAAATTTATGATCCCGTCCTTGTGCGTGCGTTGGAAAAAGATTGTCCAGACTTGTGCGTTGGACCTGGCGGCTTTAAGGTGGCTGTACCGCGCCGGGGACGAACGTTGATTGAAAGGAACCTTGAAGTTTCGGCTCGATGACATTCAGTTTGAAAACCTAACCAGAGCAGGACCAGCCGCGATCATGCAGTCAGATCGCGATTGCAGGATCACAAAGTTTCGCCATGGACCGCCGTGCAGCGTTTTTGACGGACCCGGGGTGGGCGGTGCTGGTGGATCGGTCTGCCCTCCCCCACTGCGGGAACCGGCAACCTTGAGCCGACTTGCGGCTGGCGCTGCAAGCACGTGGCCTGCCGCAGCGACACTGGTTCCGGCTCCAGACCGTCTGCCGGCATAGGCGCTGTCCGGGTCAAATCAAAGTTCACAGGACTTGTGAAGAAATAATTATTGCTTTGCTATCTTCAACAAAGCTAGTTTCAAATGCCGTGTCAGGTTCTGCTATGGGTGCCGTCTCAAATCCAATGCGGTCAAGCTAAGGCTTCGAAAATTACCCCAACGAAAGGACAGAAGGTGTTGGATTCCGACAACGTGAAAATAGGCCTGGCCCTCGCCCTCGCTTGCCATCAATAGTTTCCCCAGCGGGTTGTATAAGGTCAGCTTT